GGTGTATTTTCTATAGTCAGGGTGATGTTTCTATGGTCAGGGTGATGCTTCTATGGTCAGAGTGTAGTCTCTTCGGCCAGGGTGTAGTTTCTATGGTTAAAGTGACATTTCTATGGGCAAGGTGTAGTTTCTGTGGGGAGAAAGACAAAAAAAAAAAAAACAGGTTAATGATAGATCTAAATGCAAACACAACATGAACAGCAGAGTGAGGAAATTAGGTCAATTTGTCCTCCTGCAGTCTAAACCTATAGCAATATAACTAAGTGAGAGTCCAGGAAACCCAAACCAACTCTAACTATAGGATTGATCAAAATGAAAGTCTTAAGACTATTCTTAAATTAGACAATGTGTCAGCCTCACAGGCAAATTGGAAGTTGGTTCCACAAGAGAGGAGCCTGATAACTGAAAGCTCTGCCTCCCATTCTGCTTTTGGAAACTCTAGGAACCACAAGTAAATCTGCAGTCTGGGAGTGAAGTGCTCTGTTAAGAAAACATGGAACAAAAGCATCTTGAATATAACATTGAGCTTGGTTGTTGAGAGCTTTATATACAAAGTAATAGCAGTAGGATTTTAAACTCTTTTCTGAATCTGACAGGGAGCCAATGGAGAGAAGATAAAACTGGAACTATGACCTCTCCTTCTAACTCATCAGAACTCTGGCAGCAGCATTTTGGATAAAATGAAGACTCTTTAACAGTTTTTGGACACCCAGATAACAATGACATCCAATAGTCCAGTCTAGAAATGATAAACGTATGGACCAGTTTTTCTGCACCATTTTGGAACAAGATGTTTCCTATGTTAAAATACAGTCATGTCCTCTTGATGCAATTGAACACATCCTGAATAACCTCTGTTTTCTGTGCAGCCCATCAATGATAGCCTGTGATCAGCAGATGTTGATGCAACTTATGTACATACACACCGCTGGCTTCACCCCTCGTCACCCTTCAAACACTTAGCTTCTTGGCAATTCCCTCAGTGTGATTGAATTTAGTGGGGGTTGCTTAACTCCTTGGTATTAGCACTAATCTACACGAGTGCACGTGTTACAGCCACTGGTTTTACCCAGAGTTCAGTGAGTCAAAGAACATACTGTATATAATACTGAAAATGTGAAAACCTAATAATTATACTCAAGATCTTAACTTGTTTGAATCCAGCTGGCAGATCTTTAAATATAAAAAACCCAGAAACAAATGCAGATTACGTTTTGTATGCACACTGTCACCACTCTCAGTCACACATGCTGTTGTATTTGCTCTTTAAGCTCCATCCTAATAGACTTAACCTGCTACATACACTGCTGAACACAGCAGCTACACTCTACCTGTAAGCCATAGCTTCTTTTAAAAGCCAGCTGAAGACTCACTGATCTTGTTTAGTGTTCAAGAGCATAAGCAGGACATATTTTTAGATGCTACTCTCACACAGACATTGAAAAGAAGCCAACAGTCGACACATCAGCACTCTGTGCACCAGCTGCTGGAGGTGTTGGCAAAATAGTACAAGAACCCCTGGACTGATTTGAATGATTATTGGATGCTTATCAACATGAACACTGGAGTCAGCCTTGTTCATAATGACTGCCACAGCTAAGTAACTTTAGCAAACAAAACTGGTGATACGTCAGCTCGTTTTACAAATTTTAGCCAAAATTTGGTGTTTTGGTCATTCCCAACACTTATCCCAAGTGCTAACTGATGGCTTTACAAATTGAAGATAGCATCCCAGTTAATCAACCTTAGCCAACACAAAAAGGTTGCAACTTTGTCAACTTACAGATATTGTGCTAGCATTTTATATGGTAATAGATTCTCAATGCACAGTCCAAGTGCTAACACGTGACATATTACAATATTCTTCTTTTGGCTGTTTCCTCTTCAGGGGTCGCCATAGCAAGCGAGTTATCCTCCTCTATCTCTGTCCTCTGCATCCTCTGTCCTCACTCCAACTACCCCCATGTCCTCTCTAACTGCATCCATATATCTCCTCTTTGTCTTTTTTCCTGGCAGCTGCATTTCTAACATCCTTCTAGCAATATACCCACGGTCCCTCCTCTGGACATGTCCAAACTACTGTCCCTCCTCTGGACATGTCCAAACCATCTCAGTCTGGTCTCTCTAACTTTATCTCCCAGTTGTTCAACCTGTGCTGTACCTCTGATGATCTCATTCCTAATCTTATCCTTTCTTGTCATTCCTAAGGAGAACCTCAACATCTTCATTTCTGACATTTCCAGTTCTTTCTCCTGTCTTTTTGTCAATGCCACTGTCTCCAGACCATATAACATATCTGGCCTCACCACTATCTTGTAAACTTTTCCTTGGACCTTTGCTGACACCCTTTTGTCACAAATTAGTTTATCCTGTCTGGACTCTCGTCTTCACCTCTTTTCCACACTTCATACTGTATTTTCCAGGACAGTTGGCCTGACATCTTACAATATAGTGACATCTTACAATATAGTGACATCTTACAATATAGTGACATCTTACAATATAGTGACATCTTACAATATAGTGTGGTGCTGCACAAACCATATTTTTTTAATCTTAAGAAATGGTTGCAACTCCATCATTTCTCATTATAAGATGATAGTAGTTCAAAATTGGCAAAAATGGTGGTGGGGGATATGATACATGAAAAATGTAAGATTACAGGCTATCATTAGTAGCATAATCTTATTAAAGTGTTTGTTTCTGTACCTCTGTGCTCCAGGCTCAAGGAGCAAATCCAGCAAGATGGCAAAAGTCTGCAGTGAAATATCCTTTTCATCAAGACAGCGGCTGTCCTCCAACACACCGGGCAATGAGCTGTCTGTCATTGAAAATGGGGACAGCAGGTCAGAAACAAAATCCTCATTACAGACAGAAATAAACAAACATCTCTTTAAATCATTGTCTTTATTTTCCCCAGTTTTACAACTGAAGACTGTATTTCTTTAACACGACTAAAATTAGTAATGATTTTGTCACCATTTCCCTCCACCTGCTATCTTTTAGGGTCTACTCTATTTGTGAAGATGGCTCTGAGAGAGCCTTGTCCTCAGAGTCCCATGAAAGCTGTTGCACAGGTGCCAGAGCAATAGACAGGTACGTGGTATTATTTCTTCCACCAGGTCAGGGTTTTAGGACTTCTGGTGAAAGCAGAGGCTGTAAGGAAAATACATGGAACAAAAACATAAACGCACCACTTTTGTTTTTGCTCCCATTGTTCATGAACAAAATTCAAAGATTTGTAACTTTTTATTATGCACACAAAAGGCCTTTTTCTCTCAAATATTGTTCACAAATTTTGTGTAAATTTGTGTTCGTGAGCACTTCTCATTTGCTGAGATAGTCCATCTGTCATATCTGTGGGTTTTGTGCCGACTTGTGATTATTTTTATTTAGTTCTCCGAATCTGTTTTTGCTGCGTTTCCAGTATCCCCAGTGTTTCTCTCCTCACGTAGTCAGCTCCAGCTCCTGCCACTCTCACCTGTTCCTCAGTCTTTCCCCAGGTGTTGGTCATTGTGTCCCATTAGTGTCCCTTTAAGTTCAGCATCTCTGTGTTTCCTCCTTGTCTGTAGATTGTGCTTCACTGGCTTCATGCTCCGTTTTCCTCCATGTCCCCCAGAGTTCGTTACTTTTGTAAGTTTGCTACTATTTCAGCTTTTTGTTTTTTATTATTTAACTAAATAATTTTCTTATTTTTACCCTCGAGTTCCTCGTGTCTGTCTGCACCTGGGTTCAGTAATGCTGAGCATGATACCATTGACCTCACAGGTGTGGCATACCAAAATGCTGATTAGTCTGCATGAAAATTGCACAGGTGTAACTTAGGCTGACCACAATAAAAGGTCACTCTAAAATGTGCAGTTTTATAACACAGCTCAGTGCCACAGAGGTTACAAGTTTTGAGGAGCGTGCAATTTGCATGCTGACTGCAGGAATGTCCACCAGAGCTATTGCCCATGAACTGAATGTTCATTTCTCTACCATAAGCCGTCTCCAACGGCGTTTCAAAGAATTCTGCAGTACATCTAACCGGCCTCACAACCACAGACCACGTGTAACCACACCAGCCCAGGATCTCCACACCCAGCATCTTCACCTCCAAGATCATCTGAGACCAGCCACCTGGACAGCTGCTGCAGCAATTGGTTTGCATAACCAAAGAATGTCTTCACAAACTGTCAGAAACCGTCTCAGGGAAGATCATCTGCAGGCTCACCGTCATCATCAGGGTCTCCATCTGACTGCTTTTCATCACTGTAACCGACTTGAGTGGTCAAATGCTTCCATTTGATGGTGTATGGCATGTTGGAGAGGTGTTCTCTTCATTGATGAATCCCAGTTTTCACTGTATTGGGCATATGGCAGACTGTGTGTATGGTGTCATGTGGGTGAGTGGTTTGCTGGTGTCAGAGTTGTGAATCGAGTGGCCCATGATGGCAGAGGGGTTATGTCAGGGGTGGGCAAACTTTTAGACTCACGGGCCACACTGAGTTCTAAAATTGGAGTGAAGGGCCAGGCCAGGAACAGATGGATGGAGTGTTTGTGTGATGTTGTGGTATGGACATGCATATGTTATGGACAACGAACACAGGTGCATTTTATTCATGGAATTCTGAATGCACAGTGATACCGTGACAAGATGCTGAAGCCCGTTGTTGTGCCATTCATCCAACCCCATCACCTCATGATGTACCATGCCAATTGCACGCTCCCTCAAAACATGAAACATCTGTGGCATTGTGCTGTGTAATAAAACTTCACATTTTAGAGTGGCCTTTTATTGCGGTCGGCCTAAGGCACACCTGCGCAATAATCATGCTGTCTAATCAGCATCTTGGTACGCCACACCTGTGAGGCTGATGAATTATTTTGGCAAAGAAGAAGTGCTCACTAACACAGATTTACACAAATTTGTGAACATAATTTGAGAGAAAAATACCTTTTGTGCACATAGAAGTCCAAGATCTTTGAGTTCAGCTCATGAAAAATGGGAGCAAAAACAAAAGTGTTGCTTTTATATTTGTGTTCGTCGTAAATTTCTGGCATAAGACTTTCTGTTCTGCTACCTGGTCATTGTTTTAAAGTAAGCAACACTTATAAAGCCAGTACAAAGATAACCTATCATTTGATTATTTCAATATTGTTCATTGATCATTATATTCAGTATGTTTTCATCCATCTGTTTCCATTCATTATACCTGGTTGATGCTAATCATGGTTGCAGGGAGTTTTCAGGTTGGTACAGACCTTGGACAAGTTGCCGTTCTAAATAGGGCCTACATAGAGACAAAAACACACACTGACATGAAGGAACCGTTTAGAAAAAACAGTTAATCAAACACACATTTTTTGAAGTGTGTGAAGAGTATCTGGGAAAAATGCATGCATGTGCAGGAAATGCAAGCAAACTCCACACAGGAAGGTCCCACACAGTACATGTAATTCACAGAAATACACAATAGATCAAAAAAAATAAAGACATCTCAGCAGCATATATAGTTTTGGGGCATTTAGAGATTCTTTTAATTCTTAGATAAGATATTCCTTTCCCATGTGAGTATTTTTGTATAATCTCTGTGTAGTACTCTTATTGAGGGATTTATGTGCAAAATTAAAATTTAAGTACTTCCTCCACCACTTGTACAGCGTTGCTTGAAAGTTTGTGAACTCTTTATAATTTTCTATTATTTCTGCATAAATTTGACCTAAAACATCATCAGATTTTCACACAAGTCTTAAAAGTAGATAAAGAGAACCCAGTTAAACAAATGAGACAAAAATATTATACTTGGTCATTTATTTATTGAGGAAAATGATCCAATGTTACATATTTGTGATGGTAAAAGTATATGAACCTCTAGGATTATCAATTAATTTGAAGGTGAGATTAGAGTCAGGTGTTTTCAATCAATGGATGATGATCAGGTGTGAGTGGACACCCTGTTTGATTTAAAGAACAGGATCTATCAAAGTCTGATCTTCACAACATGTTTGTGGAAGTGGATCATGGCAGGAACAAAGGAAATTTCTGAAGAGCTCAGAAAAAGAGTTGTTGATGCTCATCAGGATGGAAAAGATTACAAAACATCTGTATTCACTGGTTAACTGGTCATCATTAACTTCACGCAGACTCTCTCACTGGTGCATTTTCATCTTTAAATCACTTCTTGGTCTGCTGCCTTCATACATCTCCTCCTACATGTTTCTGCATGAGTGCAGCTACAGCGTGCGCTCTCAGGACATTATTACCTGCAGTGTTCCCTCAGTGCAGACTGAACTTGGCAAAAGGACCTTCTCCTACTCCGCTGCTGTTTCGTAGAATATCTTACAAAAAGATCTGAAGCTCTTGACCTTGACCTCTCTAAGTGGCTTTAAACATTTCTTAAGTTCCTGGCAACAACAACTGCAGATATGTTCCTGTTTTTATCTAAAAATGTTCAATCTGGTCCTCTGGACATTTAAAAAAAAACAAACAAAAAAAACAAAAACAAAGCAAAACAACAAAAAAATGTAGAAACCTTTCGTCTTTCATCCGAAAGACTTCCTCAGTCTGAAGTGCTGTATTCAGCTCAGTCTTATACCAGATTTAACTTTTTTAGATTTTTCTACCTGGATTATTGAGCATGCATCAGGATATTGCCTGTTTTTAGTATTCTACATCACCTTATAACCTAGCTGGGGGGGGGATAACATTTTTTTAATCCCATTTTATTTTCATTTGTTATTCTCCAATTTGTATACATCCTTTATGATTGTCTATTGTTGTCCACTGTTGTCATCACTTTTTGTTAAAATCAGGTCTCTTCTAAATGAGTCCCGCCGAATGGGATTAACCTGTATAAATAAAGGTTGAATGAATGAATGAATGAAAGAGTTTGGACTCCATCAATCCACAGTCAGACAGACTGTGTACAAATGGAGGAAATTCAAGACCATTGTTCCCCTCCCCAGGAGTGGTGGACCAACAAAGATCCCTGTAAGAGCAAGGTGTGTAATAGTCAGTGAGGTCACAAATGAGGCCAGGGTAACTTCTAACAACTGAAGGTCTCTCTCACAGTGACTGATGTTGATGTTCATGAGTCCACCAGGAGAACACTGAACAACAATGGTTCATGGCAGGTTGAAGGAGGAAGACACTGCTCTCCAACAAGAACATGGCTGCTCATCTGCAGTTTGATAAAGATCACGTGGACAAACCAGAAGACTGTTGGAAGAATGATTTATGGCCAGATGAGACCAAAATAGAACTTTTTGTTTAAATGAAAAGAGTTATATTTGGAGAAAGGAGAACTCTGAAAAACCTGATACCATCTGTGAAACATGGTGGTAGTATCATGGTTTGGGCCTGTTTTGTTGCATTTGGGCCAGGACTTCTTGCCATCATTGATGGAACAATTAATTCTGAATTATATCAGAGGATTCTAAAAGAAAATGTCAGAACATCTGTACATGAACTGAATCTCAAGAGAAGGTGGGCCATGCAGCAACACAATGACCCTCAGCACACAAGTGGTTCTACCAAAGAATGTTCAAGAAGAATAAAGTTCATGTTTTGGAATGACCAAGTCAAAGTCCTGACCTTAATTCAGTCCAGATGTTGTAGAAGGACCTGAAGCAGAAGTTAATGTGAGGAAACTACCAACATCCAGAGTTGAAGCTGTTCGGTATACTGAAAGCAAAGGTTCACATACTTTTACCATCACAAATATGTAATATTGGATCATTTTCCTCAATAAATAAATGACCAAGTACTTTGTATAATATTTTGTCTCATTTGTTTAACTGGGTTATTTTTTTTATCTACTTTTAGGACTTGTGTGAAAATCTGATGATGTTTTAGATCATATATATGCAGAAATATAGACAATTATAGAGTTCACAAACCTTCAAGCACCACTGTACATGAGATTACTTACCAAACAGAAACACACTTCACTATTTTGAGACACAGGGATTTAAATAATTTGGATGAATAAAATAATTATTCATTCATAAATTTCTTGTTTATAACCAGCATAAAACAAAAGAAAAGCTTTTATGTCATGTCATAAACATAAGCCTTTGAACATGACATTCACTGACAAGGACATCATAAATTACATCACAAGTAATTAGGACTGGAATAAAATAAAACTACACAATTAGATATAAGGGACCTATACAAAGTATAAGAGGGATTCAAAACCAGCCACTAGTTGGGGTTTTTTTTTTTCAGATGAGCTCAACACTTCGACCTTTTATTGTGGTACATTTATTGCAGTAACCCATATCCCACACTCATTTGTTCAAATAGTTACACAGGTCCACCTCTGTTCAAAAGTGTCCATTTTCTGCTGAAGACCTGCAGTCATTTGTTCCATTATGTAGACCCATTTAAATTTTTGCACCCACTCAGTTATGGATGGTGGTTTTATTAGCTTCCAATTCAGCATTGGGGCGGCTGTGGCTGAGTGGTTAGAGCAGTCGTCCTTCAATGGGAGAGTTGGGGGTTCGATTCCACCAACAGTCACATGTTGAAGTGTCCCTGGACAAGACACTGAACCCCTCATTGTCTCTCATGTGTGTCCCATCAGTGTAGGAATGTGATAAAGCTCTGACTAGTCTTTGTACAGATCTAGTAGAGTGCTGTATGAATGGATAAATGAGGCACAGATTGTGTTGTAAAGAGCTTCGAGTACCTTGATTAGATAGAAAGGTGCTATATAAGTACAGTCCATTTACCATATCTTTATCAACAGAGCCACCAGTGGGTTTTAATTATCTATTTGCGAAATGTTGTCAATTTCTTCTTTGACATTTTTTCCAAAATCCTCACAATTTTAGCTAGGCCCAAAATATTTGGGAATGGCTTCTTAATTTTCCACATTTCCTCCGACACAGTTTGGTGGATGTCATTTTGTACCGTTTCATCTCCCACTGACCCTTTAGGCTGTCCTACTTTTTCTTCATGCTGCGGGACTGGACCTCTCACAGAATGAACCCTGTAGAAGAAAGGCAGGACTCCTTTCTGGAGCGCTTCAGAGGCCCCAAACTCAAAGAAGTGTCCAGTGAAGAGCATGACACCCAATCTGTGGGCCATAAAGACAAACACCGAAGAAGAAAGTATGTATAGTGTTGCAGTCTTGTCAGAAGATATTTACTGTGTTGTCTTTTGTTTAAAAGTGGGTAAAGCTAGAGGACAATGGACTAATATTACAGTTAGAGTGAAGTACGGCAATGTTACTCTTTTATTTAAATCTTTGACATATAAAATTAGACTGGAAGTTATAAAAAAATTAAAGTAAAACAAACATTACACTTCAGTAGTGCAACATATTTTCTGATGATGCACACAGACCTTGATTTATTAGGAAGATGAAATGAGAACAACTAAATTATTTAGAAATTTGTGGACTAGTATAAAATATAAACTAGATAGATAGACAGACAGACAGACAGACAGACAGACAGACAGACAGACAGACAGA